CAGGAACAAATTACAATTCCTTTCTTCTCCTGCCTGGCACAGTCTGATCCAACCCTTGCTAAAAATTAATAACGCCAATAAAACATATCAGAAAAGGAAGGAAAAAGAGAAGCCCACAAAAGCTGGAGCTGCAGCAGAAGGTCAGGACTCCCTGGGTTGGGCTCCTGGCAGCCCTGCCATGACTGCAGGGCAGTGGCCCTTTAATTTGGGTAAACCAATTATCTGCAAGTCCAGGTATGGGCCAACGCGATGGATTTAGAAACACAGACCCAAGAAAAACTATAGTGGGAAACGTAAATTTAATTATTATATGGTTAATATATGGCAAGCACTACTCTACTGTGCATTCAATCCTTACAGAGTATCCCTAAAGAGCTGTATTCTTCTCTAAATTTGCATATTTTCTTACTCTACGCAGTTAGGGCTGCTAAATGCATATAAAAGAACTGTCACGAAAGCCAAAAGAGAAGAAAATAGAAATCAAAGTCACACTTAGAATTTTATGAGGGACTCATTTAAAATCCTACCTGATTTGCTCTTTCAAGGTCTGTCATGATCATCTCGATTTCATCAGCCCTGGGAGAACAAGAGAGCAGAAGCACTGTTATCACATGAAGAATGCCTCCTATACGAGTTCATGCCCTGTACAATTGCAACATTCATACAAACAATACCAATTTTCAGTATTTTTAAAAAATGACACCATAAGACTCAGCTGAGCTCCTGAGCTCCCCTTGCGTTTCAGCTCTGTGGACTGGTTAGAAATCTCCAGGTCTTTTGCCTGCTCCCTTTTTGCAGTGAATCGACGTATCAGAAGCTAAGCATGTTAATTAGTTCTTTGAAGTTCTTACTCCCCAACCTTCTGCAGAGGGGCAATATCATCTTTCCAACATGGAAATGTGCTTCGCAAGTGATCATTATGGAGATGTCTAAGACTAGTTATTCAATCAGCTACTTCTACATGAGGACACAGAAGTAGCCTGGTACTCTTCTGTTACCCTGTGCATAGAAGTTTGGTTCTAAATTCAGCCAAAAATCAAAAAAACAATAATTAAAAAAAAAAAATCACGGTCACGAAACCAAGAACTTTAATTTTACATTATACAGAAGAAGTTTGTTGACACAAATTTATGAAACTCTAAATTTAGACTCAGGCTCTTAATGCACTTCACAAAGCTGGGTAGGAAAGTCAAAAGGTTGAAAACTGTACAAATAGTCAAGGAAAAACCGATCCTTCACACGGGTTTGTTAGGTGGCAGCTACCAGCCCCGACCCTTTAAACCCCAGCCCTTCTAAGCCTTCGCTCACACAAACGGGTCCAACCCTTCAGCAATCTTCTTCTATCGTCATGCTCAGACATGGGCAAATATTTCCCACTCATGCTCTCACCTGTGAAAGGTACCAGGAAAAGAGCCTACAGACCTACAAGTATGTTCTGTATCAATATAGTGAGACATATTACTTCTCCCCAGCCGTTTTGCCTGTCTTGTATCTCTGGACCATATGGAAGCAATAAACACTACCCTCATCTCCCATGAACAGCAGCTTTAACCAGCAAGTCCTCTTGCAATCTGCCAACACCATAATGTCTGGGTTTTGTTTTTAATCTGCAGCAGATCATTATCAGTAAAAGCTGTGAAATGCTGGAATTCCCTTCCTCTGCCGCTGCAGAATCCTCTGCCGCGGCAGAAAAGTCAGGGTTTGTTTTCCCGCTGATCCCACAGAAGATCCACTTTTCTGTGCAGGTGTTTGCGGGGAAAGCTGGTTAACTGAGGCACATCAGGGTACTGGCACACTTGACACTGGATCATTACGTGAATATTGACTTACTCTTCAACAGCATTTTAGGTTTCTGGGTGCACACTTAGGGAAATGCAGTAAAAGATAGTAATAAATAAACGTGTACGTATATAAATTAATGGAAAATTATTTTTATTTACAGGCTTTAATGTTGTCGGGGCAACATGAATTGCCTTTTGAAAAAATCTTTTGGACAATAATGGAAAACAGATTAACATGTGTTTTCTTGCGCCGGAGAAGCTAATGTGCTTTTACATTGGAAAGAAATCATGCACACCATGTTTTGAATTAATAATAAATAATTGACATTAGTTACTGAATTGAACGCTCTCTCCTTGGGCAAATAAGGATTCAAAGTGTGCAGGGGGTAGCCCGAAGACTAACCTGGGCAGGTTAACATAAGCCTACAAGAACACTTTCGATCTCTTTAGCCTCTGTAGTTGTGAAACATCTTTTGTTTTACACTCCAGCCCCAAAATACTTGTTAACCCACTTACGGAAATTGCAGTATTTCACATGGAAAAGATGTCCCTAAGACCACGCAAGTGACCCCATTATGTGTCTGTAACAGAGATAAGAGGGAAGCGAGCATCCTAATGCACCCAGGAAAAAAAAGTTTCCCAGCATTTTACAAATATTTTTAGCCAGGATAGTTTAAGGATCCTCTTTATATAAGCTCATGCATTCAGGCGAAATTTATGTGTGAATGCCTCAGGTTATAAGGAGCCAGTAAATGATGTCTGGATTATGTCACATGCCTCCCAGATCAGAGCTGGGAATGTCCCATCCCAACACGCCGGCTACGGCTTAAGTGAATCCAGTTTCTGCTCGCTTCTCTGTAGGGCCTGGAGAACAATGAAATCACTGCCTTTCCTCCCAAACTGGGGTGCCAGGTGTCACCAAAGGTCTGAAAAACTGCAGAACCTGAGAAGAGCGAAGGAGTTGGAAGGACAAAGCGCTCAGACCGGGAGGGGAAGAGCACCCTGATTTGGGAGCAGAAGGGCTGTTTTGCAGTTCAGCCAAGGGAAACCTTTTTTTTTCTCGGAGAAAAGAATGTGACTGAAGCGGAAGAGATGAGTGGGAAGGGGCAGAAGAGTGAGGGGGTCTGGACCCATCAAAGGACCCTCAGCCACCGTTAAAGGTCACAGAGGTAACTGGAGGGAGCCACGGGCAGAGAAACGGACAGAAGACAGCAGAGCTCAGGAAGGAAGAGAGGGATGCCCGAGGCCGAAGGACCAAGGGGAGATGCACCAGGAGCTCCCCCAACCCTGGGCCAGCAGAAAGGTGCGTGGCTGCCAGTAGAACAGGCTGAAACACAGGACGGTACCTGAAAAACGAGGTGGAAGGATCAGGACAATCCCGTATTTAAAACGGACAGAAGTGCTCATACCAGTACTCGTAGGCCGTTTCGGCTGGGGTCAGGATTTAAGAGCTCTATTACAGCACTGGTATACGCAGCCAATTACAAAAAAAAAGCAACCGAGGATATAGAACGCCATAAAAATGACATTTCTGCCCTTCAGCGCGCACAGATAATTCTGACTGAATCCAGTAGAAGTGTCAAACTGTAGCCAAGGGCAAAATTGTCCCTTTGTCCTTGCATCCTGACACACCAGCTGACTGATCCTGAACTCCCCTTTCCCTCCTACGTTTTTTCTACCTAGCTTTCCCCGCACACAATCTGTCTCCGCACACCTAATAAAAAGGATGCAACATCTCCAAAAAGGATTCAAGCAAAACACCTCCAGCCTAGCAACCCGCACACCCATGTCGGTTAATGCTGCAGCCATAAATGTTATCTTTAAGTAATGTAATGAATTAAATTACTCTGTATTCTTTCCTAGCACAAGTGTCAACAGCATTCCAAAGAATCTTCAAAAGGAATTCAGTCTTTTCACTTTAAAAGCTCAACTACCACATCAGTAGCTGGCACTCAGCAGTCGAAAATCACTTATTTAAGAAAGTCTCTAATAGCTACATTCACTGTGTGCTCAGCAGAAGTATTTATTAGAAAATAAATTACAGTTCTCACACCTTTTATACACTCACAGAAACAACTTGCATTGATTTATTGTTTACAAAGCACCGTGTCGAATTCAAACCTGCAAGGTACGAGGCAACTCCACTGTGGCTCACTGAATTAGTCCCACACAGGTCATTTTTGATGTATTCACCATCCGCCACATTCGCTCATTTTCAGTCCTTCCCATTTCAATATTTCTCTGTATTTCAACGGAACTCCTTGAGAGGCAAAATACCATCCAGCTCAAGGCTGCTGACACCTTGTTTCCATTGAAAATCTGGTGGGAACCTCGAAGGGTGCAATGGCCAAGTTCAGCAAGTCCATGGTTATACTGACCCTAAATTTCTGACCAGTCATTCCATGAGAACTGAACTCACACCGGACACAGATCTGACGACGTTAGTTTTAACAATCTTCCCACGTGAAGCAACACACGACTTGGCATCTTGTGAGTGCCTGGCTCCCCCCCTCACCCCTGGAGCTGACAGCAAGCAGAAAAACCCCAAAGTTCTCTCTGTCTTCAGACCGATACAGAGAACGAGGGTAGTTAGTAACAGGAAGGCCTTTTGCTAAAATACCCTGATATCTTCAGCGTTCTGCAGCAGATTGCCACCCAACGCTACTCAGAGTTTGTCAAGGGTGATACTTTCTTAACATTCAAACAGATCATGAGAAAAAGTGGGTAAGAGCTGTTTTCAGGAACAAACATTATCTACTCTGTTTTCTCATTCCACAGATAGCGCAATCATTTCTCTGATCTAACTCATTACAATCTCTGTGTTGGAGGAACAGCGACCGTGTAAGCCAGACAGCTCTTCAGTCTGTATTACAGACAGCTTGTTCTAAGTTCCAACACTTTCAGACCAAGGAATTTAGGAAACCAAATTCTAAGCCCAAGCACTTGGAGCTATAGAATAAGCGTCACCAGATAAAAAGAATCTGAACTGTTGAGACAGCACGGCCATGAAAAATTCTATTATTTCTTCTCCTGCTACTGTGTTTGAAGGGAAAACCAAAACACATTAAAAGCTATAGATTTTACAAGGTATAAGCTTTTACCAGTCATGAAAGAGCCCTCAAACCTAACATGCCATCTATAAAAAAACAACTTAAGGAGTTTAAAAAAAAAACCCACAAGTGCACTTTTCAATTCAATTGTTTATGGGAAATAAAAACTGCAGAAAGGCTCAATTTTCTTTTTAAGATCGAGATAACCGATTAGGTTTGAACAGTGTAACAAGCAAGCAAATTCAAGAATTGGTAACAGGGAAGAAGCTCAATTCTTTTCCTACATCAAATTAAGTCAGATGAAAACCCTAAGCACCATGCAGCTATTCACTTGGAAGCGAGAAGAATCTGGACTTTATGATTAAAATCCAGTTGATCCAACTCCTTCATTTAGATACTAGCTTAAAGAGGCAGAAACAATTCCTTTTTTATTAACATGACAAGTGAATGGTTTGCCAAATCTTGTGGCTACAGCCCCCTAAACATTCAAACTTACTGAACCTTGAAGGAAACTGCTGTTGGATTCTTTATACATGGAAGAACTGAAAAACACAGATGACACTTTTGAAATTGCAGTCAGTGGCGTGGCCAAGAAACTTCACTAGCAGGGCAGATTAATATTCTGGTTTGGCAAAAAACAAACAGCATTTTTTCCCACACATTTGTTTTCTTTAAAAGCATGTATAAGTTTACTGGTCAGAGCAAGGGGTATATGGAGCCACTGGGGCTTGTTAAAACATTCTAC